CAAATTCCTCCATTGTTATGTTAATTGTTCTTACACCCACCTAAGTATGTGTCTATCATTTTACTTTTTATCCAATCCCAGGGGTTTCCCTGATTTGCTTTCTCCCGCCTCTCTAGTCTATCACCAATGGATTTCATGTAACACACCTATTTCCCTTGATGGCAATGTATAAATACAGATGTAACCTGCCATTCTCCAGAGCATTATCTCAATTCATTGAGGTTCTGCTTCCTGGCATATGTCAACACTTTGGCTCAAATAAACTCACAAAAATTCTTTACAGGTTTCAGTGGTTTTTTACGTTAACAAACTGGAGCTGGAGTCTGAACCACTGCAGGCCTCGCCCTCCACAAGGGTAGACAGTGTGGGGCCAGGCAGTGCTGGGAGAGAAGGCCGCACAATTCCTCTATTAGTGTGCCCACGACACCTTAACCCTAGGTTTTCCTAGGATGGACTTAACATTAGGCAATAATCTTGTTTTGGAGCTTTTCCATTTTAGGAAGGTAGAAGATATGTAATAGGTATTCACATTGCAGGGACCTAGAAGAAAACAAGTAAGAGTTTGTGTGCGAAAGTGGTTTGTGATGTGCAGAGTGGGATGGGGACTGATATAGGGACACTCAGACACTCAGTAACCATTTATGAATGAATTGGCCTATAACACAAGAAGAAATCAAGTGCACACACACTCTCTCTGTCTGCACATGCACACCTCCCCACTGGACTGGGGCTCTTTAGTGAAGGATCTGTGCCATCTCGCAGTCCTAGTGCCTCATCGCATGCTGTGAAAACGGCACACAAGAAACGTTTGTGATGAGTAATATTGCAGTGCCTCCCCTAGTCACTGGGGTTTTTATGGGATAGATGCTCTCTCTGTGCGGGCAGATGGAGGGTCTGATAGAAATCGCGACTTCATTACTTCAGAGCCCCATTTAGATATTCAACATGGTGGGGGGCAGGGTTTTCAGGACTGAGTATTGAGAGGCTGCAGCTGGGAAGGCAGCACCCCCAGTGACTCAGCAGCCACAACTCTAACCCTCAGGCGCCACAGGGTGTGGGTGTGCATTTGTTTCCCGGAGGACTTTTCTCCAGGCATTGTGCCAGAAAGTGGATTATTCTCCACCCAGCGAATGGGGGTTGGGGTGGGGGGGGTGGGGAGGTGGTGAGTAAATAATCTTGTCCATCCCGTTGACCAGTTAGATTAGTCTGGCCAGTACGCTGTAGGACTCGTTGTGAATAGCATGGCCTTTGAGTAACCAGCACAGTCCTTGATCCTATGGAGGGGAGCAAGAGAGGATGGCAGGACTGAGGCAATGTGACCAAGAAGTCCAGCTTTGACAACAGATTTGAAAGTGACTTACAGAGGAAGTGGAGAGTCCAAGGAGCAGCACAATCACCAAACCTAGGGCAAGGTACTTCAGTGGGCCACCGAGGCAAGAAAGCAAAGAAAAGAGTGGAGTTTGGGAGGAAGACAAATGGTGGCAGTGAATGCAGAGGACAAAGGCGGAAGCAGCTCTAAGTTTGTGACTGGGTCAGTGAAGCTCTTGTAACTGAATAAAAGCAAGGGAGGCTTCAAGCCCGTACCCAGCCACACGAAGTGGAGCAACTGGAAAGGGTCAGACAGACCACGGTACTGTGAAGTACTACCATCTCCTCTGAAGGAGGTTTGATGGTCAGGACATGCATGATGTTAACATGGACACGGTGGAAATGTTTGTATGGACTACTGTCCTAGTCTGTCCCGGCTGCTAAGACAGAATACCATAGACTGCGTGGCTTAAACAACCTGTTTCTCACAGTTCTAGCAGCTGGCAAATTCAAGGTTAAGGTGCCATAAGACTCAGTGTCTGGTGAGGACCCCCTACCTGGTTCATAGATAGCCCTTTTCTTGATGGCCATTTCTCATGGTGGAAAGAACAAGGGGGTTCTATAGGGTCTCTTTGAAAAGGGCAATAATCCCAGTCATGAGGCTCTGATCTCAAGACCTAATCATCTCCCAAAGGCCCCACCTCCTAATACCACCACATTGTGGTTAGAATTTCAACATAGAAATTTGGGGGTGGGGGAGCAGGGACAAACAGTCTGTAACAACCGTTTTACTAAATCTGTATATAATTTACTCTTCTTATCAGACAATTCATTTATTTAAAGTTTCAGTTAAAAATAATTCAGGCATTGCCCTGCCAGCATGGCTCAGTGGTTGAGCATTGACATATGAACCAGGAGGTCATGGTTTGATTCCCGGGCAGTCCATAAGTCTGGGTTTGCCGGCTCGATCCCCAGTAGGAGATGTGCAGGAGTCAGTGATGATTCTCTCTCATCACTGATGTTTCTATCTCTCTCTCGCTCCCTTTCTCTCTGAAATCAATAGAAATATATTTAAAAAAATAATTCATGCATTGTGTGATAAAGGAATGATGCCTGGGTAGATCCAGTTAGTTATTCCTCAAATCATGTGATGATAGTCATGGAAAGAGTTGCTTTGCAAATGGCATCCTGACCTGAACCCTTAATTGTTCCTAAATAGGGAAAGGTATGAAAACAGGTGTGTGCAAAGGTTTCAATTGAACTGGATCCACTTGACCTGTAAGATGGAGGGGCATTATGCATACATATTCATTTAGTAAGAGCCTGAGAGAGTAGAATTGAAATGAGGTGGGTGCCAAAGCTGGCTAAGCACTTTTATTAGCACCTAAATATTTTAAAAAGTTACAAAGGGTGGATTTAAAGAAGGGCATATTTTCTCAGTCAGTAGGGAAATTGAGGTCCATGTTATCCCATCTTTTTGACCCTACTTCATTTAATCAGGGTTTTAGCACTCACAGCTACTCCAAAACCATTTATTAAAAACACACACACACACACACAAAAAAAACACACACCACACATGGAGCTGAGAAAACAGACAAAAGGCTGTATGTGATATCAGTCTAATGATTTATCTGAAGAATCTGTGACCTGTGGAATCATGATTGTTAGGACTGAGAGACACCTGCTCACCTTTCTGAAATGAGATGCTGAAGAGATATTCTGAGATTCAGAAAGGGTAAGGGATACAATGCTGACCTTTTGGAGACAGGAAACCTTTGATGAACTATAGGAGACCAAGACAGTTCATTTAAAAGATGGTTTCAAAGCATTATCGGCGCTCGTTTTGTATATGCATTACTGGAGCCCTTGGGTTGTCTTTTTACATAAAACCAGTGAAATAATGGTTTCCACACTGGTTCATCTGTCTGCAACCCTCACGTGGCACCTTGGCTTCTGGGCTTTGTAACTGCCTTTCAGTCTCTTTTGTGCACAAAATTAAAATTTCCTTACCATTTGACAGTACGGAACTTTGCTGAGATGAGCGCTAAAGAGAAAAGAGATAGGAAAAGGTCACAATGCCATCTCCATGTAATTAAGGCAGTGCAAACAGCTAAATAAAAGGGTTGCTAATGACATCTACTTGACTCTCTATATGAGTCCCTGTTCTGGTATTGGAATAAGTTAAGGATCAGCTGCTTGTAAAATGTACAAATTGTAAATCTTTGTTACAGGTAATAGGATATGTATTTTTTAAAGACAGCTTTATGTTAGGGCTGTATTTAGGCTTGTGTTCTCTCTTTCTCTGCCTATCTCTCTCTGTCTCGGTTTCTATATATACATGCACTCATGTTTATATATGTATATGGATGGATGCACATATTTGCATACATGTACACATGCAGTATATATGTGTATGTGCTTTTGTCAGGTAGTAATATTTAATAAACTATAGGTTAAAACTAAGGAAAATAGCTACAAACTTTTCCTTACAGTCTTAAATTGACCATCTACCAAGGTAGAGCATGGAGTCAAGGAACCAGTTTGTCTTCTTTTAACTCTTAAGATGGAGGACCCTAAAAATCAAAAGTGATCAATAATTTTTTGGCGGGTTCTGGAATTAATGAAATTGTCTGGATATATATGAGGTAATTAAGTTTAAACTGCTGAGCTTAAGCTTAGATAGAAATTTATATCAGTAAGAATAAGTCCCAAACAAAATTGCGCCTTCATTTATTGAACACATCATTATTAAGTACACAGTAAATAACACCAACAGGAATACCAAGAATAGCACACCATCCTGGCCTTGAAATCTAGCAGAAGTGACTAAGAAATAAACTATAACATATTGTGTGATGGGTAATGCAACTTAGGGGTGCGGGGGAGTGGAGCAGGAGGTAGGGTAGCCCACCCTGTGTGTGTGTCAGGAAACGTTTCCTGGGAGAAGAGATGCTTGTGCATCACAGGTGGTGGCCACCAGCCAACAGGCGAGGGAAAGCCCTTTGCAGAGGCAGGACTGAGAATTGGGTCCAGAAGACACGAGAGAACATGCTGAGGAAGTGCAGGTAAGTGTGAGTTAGGGTTTAAGGCAGCCGTGGGCAAACTACGGCCCGCGGGCCGGATCCGGCCCGTTTGAAATGAATAAAACTAAAAAAAAAAAGACCGTACCCTTTTATGTAATGATGTTTATTTTGAATTTATATTAGTTCACACAAACACTCCATCCATGCTTTTGTTCCGGCCCTCCGGTCCAGTTTAAGAACCCATTGTGGCCCTCGAGTCAAAAAGTTTGCCCACCCCTGGTTTAAGGTGTAACAGGAGAATGAAGCATCCTCTGAAGGACCCCCGTCTTCTCCACCAGGCTTCCTCCTTGAGGACATCCCTGACAACTGGAGTTGGTGCTCCGTGTCCCCGTGACTATTTCTATTGTTTGATTTCTTTACACCAATCTAATTGTTCATGTCTGATTTTCATACTTGTCTTCAGGATAAACATCAGGACTGTCTCCCAGTTCTTGTCATAAAACCTAGAAAATAGTAGGTGCTCAATAGTACCTGTTTATTACATGCACACGTGGCTGGCTGGCTGGCTAAGATTATGCACAGTTTGGGAATGAGAAAGTCAAGAATTGCCTTGGTTATCAAGCAGCATTTCGTAAAACCTTAATGGTTTCATTTTTTCTGTTTCAGGTTACTTGCCGCATATAATAGTCTTACCGACAAACACCTGACTGGATATTTTAACAATACAAGGATAAGGCGGCATCTCTTAAGATCAGGGCTGGTAAGCTTTGGTTTACGCTCTACCCGCCCCTTTTATTTCATTAAGTCCAGTAATTCTCTCCCTTTCCTGGTTTTCTCTTTGAACTAATTAGGGACATCTCCCCTGACCCCCATTTCAGAAAAATTGCTTCCTTTGCAAAGCTCTGATTTAACTTGTTGAGGTTGTTTTTCAAAAGATAGGAAAGGAGGTCACAACGACTGCTAAGGCAACTTATAAATCACTGAGGAAAACCCCTGAGTTTTTAACAGCATATTTCACTTTGTCTACTCATTCATTTATTCAACACATTTATTGAACACAGTCTATGGGCCAAGAACTATTAAGGATGAAGGGTAGAGAGGACTTGACTGTCTTTGGGAAAAAATACATTGTTTTCAACCATCACAGAATCTGCTGTGGAAGACACAAACAGCTCAAATTTCTCTTTGAATTTTTAAAAACAGTTTCATTTTCTAGGGTGGTTTATGGATACATTAATGTATTTTGCTAGCTCCAAAACTATCATTTCCACACACACAAAAAAATCCTATTCCTCTAAATGTAATGTAAAGCCATTAAAAAGTACGATAGCCTTCCATAGAAAGAAATGGGTGTGGGTATAGAAAGTATGACTAGAGAGCTTTGCAGTTTACCTTCTTAAAACACAGTGGTTTTCCTTAACTATTGTTGCTATGGTATTGAAAGGACATGCATTGCGGTTCTAATTGTTTATGTGCTTGGCACTCTGGCTGGTACGCCCCAGAGAGCTTGCTTTTTGCCTCCCGTGGCTTTGTTATCAGACAGATCTGGCTGGAAGTTGGCTGTCATTTACAAGACATAGACTTGAGCAAATCACTTAGCTTTGTCAGCTCCAGCTTTCTCAATTGTAAAATACAGATGATGATACCCAGCCCTCAGGATTGTTGTGGCAAGAAGAGATGTGTAATAAATGGCTGTAATTATTGTGGTTACTAGTAACATTACTTCTTTGGATAACAATATGTGAGCTTCGTGTGTAAATAGGAAGGACTTGGTATTTACTTATCGACATCATTAACAAGCACTTAATTGAACATTGGTTATGTGCATGGCAACTCAAGTAAGGAAGATCCAGCTCTTTCTCTAGAGTAGTCTTTCAAATACAGTCCCTGAATCAGCAATCACCTGGGAACTTGGTAGAAAATGCAAATTTTAAAGCCCCACCCCAGACCGATTGAGTCAGAAGTTAATGGGGGGAGGCCAATCAATTAGTTTTTTAAAAATTAAATTTATTGGGTGACATTGGTTAATAAACTTAAGTAGATTTCAAGTGTACAATTCTATAATACATCATGTGAGTTGTGCATTCACCACCAAAGTCAAGTCTCCTTCCATCACCATTTATTTACCCTCTTCTATCTCCCCTCACCCCATTTTCCTTCTGGTAACTACCATACTGTTGTTTGTGTCTATGAGTTTTTGTTTGCTTTTCTTGTTTGTTTGTTGCTTTTAGTTTTATATCCCACATATGAATGAAATCATATGGTTCTTGACTTTTTCCATTTGACTTATTTCACTTAGCATAATATTCTCAAGATCCATCCAGGTTGTCACAAATGGCAATATTTTATCTTGAGTAATATTCCATTCTATATATGTACCACATCTTCTCTATACCAATTATCTGTTGAAGGACACTTTGATTGTTTCCATGTCTTAGCCATGGTGAATAATGCTGCAATGAATATAGGGGTGCATGTATCTTTGTGAATACATGTTTTCAAATGTTTCAGGCAGATGCCCAGAAAAAGGATTGCTGATATGGTAACACCATTCTTAATTTTTGAGGAACTTCCATACTATTTTCCACTGTGGCTGTACCAAATTAAAATGGCCACATTACCCAAAGCAATATACAGATTAAATGTAATCCCCTTCAAAATTTCTAATCTGTTTTTCAATTGTCTTTTACATGATCTGAGGCAGGTTCAAGTTTAAGAGCATTTGCCCTGTAGGAACTTCCAGTCTAGTTAGAGAGATCAGACAACTCCCAGGGGAGAGATAACAATGACACATGTTAACTGCAAAGGAAGAGGCAGTGCAGCACATTCTCAACCTATTTTTACAATTGGAGCACATGACATGATATCCCTTGGACAGCACATTTCAAAGACTGTGACTGAATTGTAATCCCAAGCATATTTTCTATTGCCACACCCCTTTCTTTCATTGGAAAATGCATTCATAAAAAAGATTATCAGTAGTCAATTGCTTGTAGCACAACTTAATCACAACACTTCAATATGTTACAACAACAGTGCTAAAAAAACTACAGTTATAAAAATTGAGAAACATGTGGGTGCACATTAGACCTGAAAAGAGGAGCAGGCTTAATCAAGTGGAAAGGAAGAAGATGAACAATCCAGAAAAAATAATACCCTTTGTTTAGAGAACATACAGAAAAATACAAAAAAAAAGTTGCCATAGGAAGGATTAAAAGAAAAGAAAAACAAGTATAATTGACCCTTGAATAACACACAACACAGGTTTGAACTGCCTGGGTCCACTTACATGTGGATTTTTTCAATAAATACCTGTATTATTTTTGATCTTTGGATGCTGAAAGCTGACTGTATGCATTCATATACCCCATTTTACATAGGGAACTTGAGCATCCCTGGATTTTGGTATTATCAGGGTTTCTGGAACCAATTCCCCATAGATACTGAAGGAAAACTATGTTTTTGAGGATTCAAAAGTTACATGCAGATTTTTGACTGTGTGAGGGTGGGTACTCTCTAAACCCCATGTTACTCAAGGGTCACGGTAAATGAAAAACAGAAACTACCATTCCTGGGACTTGCAATGGTGCCAATAGACACCAACCTGGAATAACTTTATATCTGCAGCACTACATAATCTAAAAAAATCGAAATCACAACAAATTCTATTACATTCTGGGCTGGAGAGTGGAAGACGAAAAAGCAGAGTGAAGACAAAGTAATGAAGCCAATTATTTTAAAAACAAAGTGATGAGAGCCTCTGTAGCTTACCTGTTTTGCCTTTCAAAGTAAATTTCCTATGAGATCATCAGTCCTGTGATCACTGCTCCTATTCATTGTATCATGGTAGCACCCGGCACTTCCTCCCCAATGCTTGCAAAAAAAAGAAATGAAAAGAACACCTGGGTTCCATCAAGGGAAAATTGCTACTCTAATGAAAACCTTGCTTTAAACAACAAGTGCACCATCTGTGTGTGTTTTCATGGTGATGGGTATATAGGACTGCCTTTCTCTTTTTTTGCCTTATGAAATATTTATTAAAAGTGAAAGTTTATCAACCACAGTAGTATACTCCTTTAGGCTTAGGAAACATTGCCTCTCTAACTCTCCCTGTTTGGTGACTAACAGTACATTTTCTGCTTTGTAGTTCTATGTGTGTCTTATTTATTCATGACAGATCACAAGAAATGGAAGAATACTTTCTGAAAAAGAATACAAACTAAATATCATGAAGAGGGATCACCAAAAATATATCCGGGAGTGCTTAGCCCAGGCTATTTTCCATAAGGTCCTTGATATGGAGGTACAAGAATTTACTCTTTTCTTTATAACTGATACTATCTAATGTGATAATTAATAATACTTCTGTATCCTGAGGCAGAGACATTCTTCTTGTATTTCATTAAAGACGAATGGAATAAGGGGACCTGAGAAATGCTCTCTATCTCTCTAGGTAGCAAGGAGCCAACAGACTAAAGTAAGTTTTTCTCCATTTCAGTGTGAGAAAATACGGACACCATTATATACTTTGTGATATTTAATTTAACAAATGTAGATTTCTAATCCATAATGGCTACTCTAAAACAAAACTGCCCTCACCATCTGTACCTCAATTTCCATTTGCTAAAAAAAAGTGACATCTGTTTAAATATCAGTAATTCCACTGCCATGAATTATTTCAGATTTGTTATTCTTCTAAGGCTCCGAAGCTCAGCCGTATGCTAAATTTCAAGGAATAGGCATTGAAACATCTGCTGTCCCTCCTACTTTAGGCCACATTGGTCAGCATGGACTTATAATCAACAACATTTCTTTTTAATCTGACATGGCATTTTTAGTAGGATATCTAGCTAACTTGATAAATTATTTTAGCCTTGCACCATGAAATTTGTAGTTTCAAGCATCAATACCATTTTAATCTCTGTGAAAAAGCATGTCACTTCTTGGCTTGAACATAGAGCAATAAATCAGAAAACCTGGCTCATAAAACCATTGACCTGTGGGTGCAGTAAACATTCATGAACAACTGTAGAATCATCAGTAAACCACTACTAAGTTTAGTGCCACTGAAAACGATGCTACCATTATATTGAGCAAGTGTTGTGTTTAGTGAAGATGTATGTGATCTGTTAATTTAGGAACTCATTTTGTGCTTATATCATGTGCATGAATTACATAGAATCACTCTTTATGACCCCTAAATCCACTAGCTTATGAAAGTATTAGTTACAATTCTATAACTAATGCTTAAAAAAATAGTACGGTGTAAAATCAATCTATACCTAGTTTCAAACTTAATCAGTAGGCACGGAGTTCTATATTAGCCTTGATCCTGGAGGTTTTTCAAACTTTCATATAACTGGCACATTATAACTGGTAAATATGCTATTATTTAAGCATCTTTGTGTATTCTTAAAGTTTGGAATAAATATCTTAAATAAATGGTAAAAATGTAATATATAATATATAATTACAAAATATAACATATAAATTAACAAATAGACTATTTCTGTCTAAATTGCCACATTTAGTTTAGGCTGATGCTGTTGCTAATTAGTGCCATTAATATCCATTTATGCAACAAACATTAATATCTATCAGGCTCACCTATGTATCATTATGAGGCTCTGTGATGTATAGCTGCAAGATATAATTAAAAAAAAAACACTGTAGAAAGTGATCAAATGCTAGAAGAAAGGAATGGACAGACTGAGCTCAGAAAAGTAGGGATTGGTGGCTTCCCTCTGTGAGAGTCAGAGGAAGCTGCACAGAGGTCCTGCTATTTGAACTGGGCCTTGAAAACAACGAGACCTCACATGAAACCAGGAAAAAGGCATTTCAGAGGCTGAGGTTACAGAGATATGAAAGGACATTGCGGAGGGGAAGGAAAGCTCCCTGAGGCCAGACAGACAGCACAGTGGGTTGGTTGAACGAGTGGCAGGAAGAGACACTCTCCAATAAGTTGGGGCCCAGTTTCTGGAGAGCCTTCAATTCCAAACTAGGTTTGGAGTATAGGTGATGAGGCGATGAAACATTTTTTAGCAGGAGACTGAAACAAATGAGCAGAGCTGTTTTAGAAAGATGATGTTGCTGAAAATGTGGGAGATGGATTAATGAGCTGGAAAAGATTGGAGGTGGGAGGTCAATTAGGAAGCTGTTGCCAAAGGGTGTGAGCTAACAGCAGTAGCTGAAACACTGGGGAGATGCAGCTGTCTGCAGAGACAGGGGAGAGGGAGGAAGACTGGCACTGGCTGAGTGAGGAGGGGTGAAGAAGGAGCCCAGAGAAATTCTGCGGTTTCTAGCTTGGCGGGGGGTGTGCCTTGCAGGAGATCAAGAACAACAACAACATAGGCTGGAAAAGAACCTTCCAGCGGTGAAAAAACATGCCTGAGAGCCAGGAGATTCTCACAAGTGGCAGAATGGTTATGTAAGATGGGTACTGGGACACAAGAAATTAGGTTTTGACCCAGAGGACAAAGACAGTGGTGGCCTTGGTGAAAGCAGGTCCAGGGGTGGTGGTGAGGAGGGGTGGTGGGAATGGGAGACTTTGGTGAGTTGGGAATAAATGGAAGATGGAAAGTGGTTGATGTAGAATCTAATCAAGTTTGGTGAGAAGTGGGAGAGAGAACAGGAAAGGGGGAGACAGAAAAGGGAAGTGTGATGCTGAGGTAGGGAATGACTGAGTCTGCAGAGTCTCAGGGCAGCTGGAGGGGCTCAAGAACAGAGGAAAAACACTTCACAATGCTCTCAGATGTGTCTGAATAATTTCAACCCAAATTATACGCAGATTACATGACTAATATGTTATAGCAAAATTGGAAAGCATAAGAAAGTCTGAAAAAGGAAAATAACCACATTAATGCTTCCTCTCAGAGATAACTGCTGTTTACATATTCACCTTTTCTTTTAGTCTCTATTCATGTTTATACATTAATAAAAGCATGCTATTTTTTTGAGAAGACCATGGTTTTATGAAAAATAACAAAACAAAACAAAAACCCAACAACAACCAAAAATTCAACCACTGTGTGCTTTGAGGAAAAATTCATGATCTTCCACCTCAGTTTCTTCTTTTGTAAAATAACACTGCTTAGCAATTAGAGCAGGAAGAGAGATGATGTACACAAAATGCGCCCCCAGCATGGGGTCAGGCACATAATATGAACTTGATAAATTAAATTGCATTTTTGTGCAATTCTGTATCCTCCTTTCTTTGTGTATTACATGTATTTTCCTTTTTTTGAAACAAAATATTTATATCTTTATTTTAATGATTATATTCTATTCCATTATATGGATGTGCCAAAAACTTAACCATTCTCTTCAAGGTTAATAGTGCTTCTGAATTTGCTTTGAAGAGAACAATACTACTAACAAAAAAAAAAACCCTTTTATTTTTTATTTATATATATATTCAAATATATTTTTATTAATTTCAGAGAGGAAGGGAGAGGTAGAGGGAGATAGAAACATCAATTATGTGAAAGAATCATTGATCAGTTGCCTCCTGAACACCCCACAATGGGGATTGAGCCTGCAATCTAGGCATGTGCCCTGATGGGAAATTGAACCTCAAATTCCTGGTTTATAGGTTGGTGCTCAACCACTGAGCCATGCTGGCCAGGCAACAAAAACTTTTTAGAGAGTATCTTTGGGCCATTTAGATAGTATCTTATGCATATAAAATAAAATTCAGATTTCCTCCTAAGTTTTAGAAGTGAAATTTATTGTTAAAAGGAAGGGACACGTTTACATATCTGAGATATATGATATTGGCTTTCTGAGATATATGATATTGGCTTTCTAAAGGGTTGTACCAATATATATTCCCACTTGCACACTAAAGCAGGTGATTCTTCTCCATCTCAATGACAGGAGGGGTAATTGAGACTCGGTTAGCTGGTAGGCTTATTTTCCTTTTAAAAAATTGTTGCTGTAATTGATATGAATCTCTCCTCCATTTTTCCTGTATGCTTAGCGTTACCATCAGCTTGAAATTAAAAAGAAACTGGAGACCTTAGCTAGAAAGGAGCGAATTCAGAGATTTAAGGTAAGAAGCCACATAACTCCCTTTCATCTCATAATATTATTTTATGATTTTGGAAGCCAATGATGCTATTATTCAAGTTTCTTGGGGCACTTTGGGATAACTCATAGCTGAGGTCAAATGGTGGTTTCTCCAAGCCTAAATCTTGGCCACCATTATTACAAAAGAGCATGACAAAATAGGAGCTGCCCGTGCAAAATGTTTTATAAAGCACGAAGAAAACTTGAAAACTTTCAAAGAAAAAGTTGAAAATATACTTTTCAGACCTAGAATTTAGTTTTTGTATTTTCTTGGCTGATATGTGGTAGAGGCCTAAGGATTTTTTTTTTTTGTCTTAAGACGGTAAAAATAAACGGTGATGTTTCTGATGTGATGGAAAACAGAGCATTCTAAGAATTATCCAATGGTACATTTTCATGCAAATGTGAACCTTGAGAATACGTGGTAGGAAAAATCTACTTTAGCAAACAAGAGCTTAAGATTTAGACATTTTGTACGAGGTATTTCAAAATTTCCTGTTTGTTTTCTATTCTTGTATTTGATATTCTTCTTTGAAGTAAGCTTAGGAAATATATAAATTTGAATCAAGAGACCAGAGATTCAATTAGGCATGTTTGAAAGGTTTCAATGTAGGTTGGCAGTTTTACTCAATTTCTTGAGCCATTCAAACTTACATGTTGTTCTTCATTTTCCGTGTCATATTACAAATGTGAGGCCTAAGACATTTCACAAACTGGTGAATATTTGTAAAGCTTCTGTAGAATGACTTGCCATATAAGATAGTAATGTTTCCCTCTTGCCTGATAGACTCAAATCTTTCTATTTTATCATGGTCAAAAGATAATCTTGTTACAAAATTGTTGTTAAATAACAGAAGATGGGCCAGTTTTTCAAGATCAGAAGTGTTAGTGTGTAGAGATTTGTGGTTAATTCAACTTTGCCAATATTGTCCTACATCAAGGACTGAGTTATAGATTCTATAATTCACTGCTGAACTGTTGTTGGAGAAAAATGGCTACTGGAAATGAAGAGTGACTAGTGCTGCCTAAAGAGGTGTGAGATCCACTCTCACCCAGTGTGCCAGGCACACTAACTAGACAGATGGGCAGGTTACAGCATTGGAAGATTTGTGATAGACACTCCAGTTCCTCCTTGTATGATTTGCACTTGTAACAATTTTCACTTTATAGCTGCACTTGGTGAAAGACCTACTAGTATGTTTTGGCTTCTTTTATGTAACATGGAAACAACCTTTTCTTAGGGCATTATTTAATAATTTAAAAATATATATTTTTATTGATTTCAGAGAGGAACTGGGAGGGAGAGAGTGGTAGAAACATCAGTGATGAGAGAGAATCATTGATTGGCTGCCTCCTGCATGCCCCACACTGGGGATCGAGCCCACAACCCAGACATGTACCCTGACTGGGAATCGAACCATGAGCTCGTAGTTCATAGGTTGATGCCCAATCGCTGAGCCATGCTCGCCTGTCTATTTAATAAATTGTTAAGGTAGAAAAGTAATACTTTCTGGTATTCTCTACTACTGATCAGAGTAGTGAGGAGCATTATGCTTCTTGTAGTGATCTGCAGATTAATTAATGCTTTTGCTAAAACTGAGGATACACTGCTCTTGTAGCTATTTCTTTGAATAAAGCAGATTCAGTTTCCTGCCTATCACTACACACCACCTCCCCAGTACAGCTATGGAAACTTTTTCTGCCTATCCTGATAGACTTCAGAAGGAACATTTTGAAAGTAATGACCATGGACTTCTCTAGTCATACAGTATTTTTTTAATCTGGTAGGCACTAACCTAAACTAGTTTTCTAACTATGCATCGATTTGTTAAATTACTTTCTTATTCTAGGGAGAGCCCACAAGATGGTCTATAGAAAAAAACATGCCAGTGCTGTCTCCTCACCCCCCAGTGGGCCCAAAGACTAACCGTGGCCACAGTGTTCTGGTTGATGAAGGACATTCCAGTCCAATAACAGTGGTGAGTTATATTAAACTCTCTGTCATGTACCATCCCAAATCCATTTATAATTTCTTACTACTCTCAGAAAGAATGCTCTCTGGGTAGATGTCTGTATAAGCCTGAGACTTCTACTGAATGAAAGCATAGTTTTATATCTATTCAACTCTGTCTCTACTGAATGCCCCACCTCGAATCAACACCACCCCTGTCGAATTCATTTTGCCTGTTACTGCTAGGTCAATTTGCTTTAGGAAGAGATTACTTATGTTATTTACATGCCCAAATACCTTCACTTGCTTTGTGTCACCTATAGAAAACCACAGGCTCTTTCACTTGACATTTAAGACCCTGAACCATCTGACCTCAATTTAGCTATCCCCACAATTACCCTTTAGCGCCCTGCAATGCAGCAAAATTGAACCACTAGTTGTTCCATATTTGTGCTATATTTTCTGACCTCTGCATTTTGTTCTTGCTGTTCCCTCTACTCTCACCTCACTTGTAGCGCTTACTTATGCACACAAATTCAATGGTACTCTATAGCATTTGGGGCCAGATACTTATATTTGTACTTCATTTATCAAAAGTATGTGCCCATACTCTAAGATAAAAATAATTAAATGTGCAGTAATTCTATTTAAAGAAATTGCACAGTGACCTTTCTTCTAGTTTGATTCATTTATACAGTAGAGGTGGTGTTTGCTTGAAGGAAGGTAAGGTAGCTTGAAACAATATAGAGAAGATTGAAACAATACAGGAAAAGATTTGCAAAATATTTGCTGGAGGTTGATGGGTTAAGCTGTAAATGAATTGCTTGATTATGTCTTTATCCTTGCTTTGTGTAGCCTAATATATTTCCTTGTTAGCATGAACATTTTTTTTGGATTGCACAATGTTTATGGAGAAATTGCAGTGCTTTCACAGATTGCTAAAGCACGTTCATCGTTCATCACATATAGTGTTAAGCTTTGACATTTTTCAGAAGGTAAATATGTTTTGACATTTCCAGGTGAACAGCTCAAGTTATGAAAAGCAGTCTTCCCTTTGTTGCTACCATATTTCCAAGCTTCATTTAAATGCATATGTACACAAATAATTCTTTTATTAGGTGGCAAACTCACTAGACTCTCAAAAGCTTAAACTGGGTGAAACAAAAGAAACCATCAAGTGCTGTTTTCTATCTTCCCACCTGTTTCCGAGTGGAAAAACCCTTGAAAGGCTTTCTTTTCAATTTTCCAGCTGAACACCCTCAATAAGTAGTTTATGATACATCCAGGAGATCTTAATGTGGCAGGAATGAGAAAGTAATTTAAAAATTACAGGAAACACTGACACCAGCACTTCAGAAGCCTTTCTCTCTGGTAAGCCACAATTCTTCCCTTGGTCACCCCCTGTGGCGAGTCTGCACTGTAAGGGATACCATTGTAATCTTGGCATTGTAGTTTCCATCCGACAGAAATTCAAGTCCTCCTCTTTGTTTTCCCAACCTGGATACATATCCTTTAAATTTGACTCCTGACCTCCACGTGCCATTGAGACGAAGAAAAAAAAATCCTTTGGGGATACTGCCATCGATTTTTCTCTTTTCACTTTCTTGAGCGAATAAGGAAAGTATCCAGTGAGTAGTTATTGCATTTGGTCACTAATTGCACCTAAACTTTCAAAATAACATATAAGCTTTTAGCTGTATTGCTCCCATTAAAACTCTGGATAGTCATTCAACTAATTCTGCACAGGCTTGGAAAATGCACCCCCAGAGATCTTCCACTAAGAATTAGAAATGCTCAGCTAAGCTGAATAATCACCAGGTAGTCAATTTCGATTCACATTCCGGTGCAGATTTGAAAATGTTAAGCTACAGTGCCATGTTTATTCCAAGAAAATATATTATGAACAATTTAAAATATAGCCAATTTAACGTGGCTTTTGATGTGAACTACAACAGTTTGTGGCTCACAGCTGTTGGTTGAATGGTACAGATTTGTTTTTAGAGATAAATGTAATCAGTTAAACATTTGACTGCCACACTCATCTAACTGAATGATATCTGTATGCAAATGTGGAGAAGTAAAATTTAGAGCACAACAGCCCATTGATCATGTCCTAGTTTATAGGAACCTGCTTTTTTGAATTCCTACATTCGGTTTTCAGTGTTTTTGTGTTCAGTTGGATTATATCACAGGAGTCTTAAGGCATATTTGTTTCACCGAGTTCAAAGGAATTCTTTTGGGTGATCTGATTCCCTTGTTCAGAAACGTCTGGCTTGATTTTTTTGTGTGTGGGTGTTACGACCTTCCACTTTGGACTCAAATAGGCTTATGTTCTGTTTCATGAAATCAAATGCTGTTCTTGTCAGTTCACTGGGTTTTCTGTCTCGGTCAGGATACAGGCTTGTGTGTAGACAATGCGCATGCATGGATCTCAGCTGGTGCGCCATCTCTGCTCTATCAAGTCAGCAACAGCCTCTCTAAGTGCATGATCTGGAAGTTTTTGTCTCGGTCAGGATACAGGCTTGTGTGTAGACAATGCCCATGCATGGATCTCAGCTGGTGTGCCATCTCTATCAAGTCAGCAACAGCCTCTCTAAGCGCATGATCTGGAAGTTTCATGTATCACTTCTGCTCACATCTTATTACTCAAAACTGAGCATATATCTATACAGAATTACGTGAGATGCTAGAAAATGTACTCTTTATTTGTAATAGCCGTGCTTCCTGATTACAATTCTATTACTTGTGAAGAAAGGAAAACAGATATTGGGGACTATTATCTTTGTCCCCTTCCCATGTCTGGCTTACAACTGGCTCTCTTCTTACTCAGATGTGCAAATTTACCAGTCCTTTGCTTTTCTCCTCCATTTTCTTCTGTTGCTCATCCATTTGAATAAAATATAATTGCGTCTGGAAACTTTAATTTTTTATCTCATTGGCTTATTCCAGATAACTTTAGTTCTAACTGCTGTGAGTTCCCAGGTATGCTTGTTGTATTGTCCCTTTGGTAGTATTTGTGTGGGTCATTTGGCACTAATTGTCTTGTGTCACTCTTAGATGTTAAAAATTACTTTCTAATCTCTTCATAGTGCCTATAATTGGAATTCAAAAAATATTGACTTAATAAAATCAGATATTTATCACATATGACATGCTTGTCAGGATGGCATGGAGACCAACTTTTGGTGGTAGAAGCTGCCCTATCATTTTTTTAAAATGTATTTACATTTTTATGTAGTTGAATATTTTGTTCACCATTCTTTAGAATCAATGTATTAAACCTCCTTATGAGTCATTTGCATACTATCCTCACACCCGCTGGTCCAAATATGCATGTATTATTCTTAACAGGTTTTTTTTCTTCTTTTATTATATTAGAACAACTGGGCCAAAAGCCTTGTTTTTTCCTCACTTTTGAAACATTGCTGCTCTTTATACTAAACTCATAATGTTCTGTCAGTGCCACAAAAGACAGCACTCATGTTCCATACTGGCATGTTTGGTTCTCTCCGCAGTATATTCTTGATTAGAAAGTGTATCAGTCAGGGTCTCAGCAGGAAACAGATGGCTCACACAAATAGGGTAATTAGGAAGGGTTTAATAAAGAAACTATTTACAAAGAGGCAGACAGGGTAAGGAAAAACAACTAGGGATGCTTAGCCTGCTGGGGTCAGCCCAATGGGGAAGCACACCACATTGGCCCATGGGGGAAGGGAGGGTTTGGACAGAGAACCTCTCCTACTTGTGAGCTGGGAGAGGACTTCCTGCTAGAGCTGTGGACTTGGTGGAGGGCCCTAGCTGGCGCATCACAACCTTGGTGTGAACGTCCAGAAGAAGTAAATCACCCATCTCATTTCCTCCTATCTTTTGATCTCTTGCCAGTGCCTTTGATTGGCCAAATCAAACTGGAACCTGAGGTCAGTTGGTATATAGTCCATAAAGAAAGATTCCCAGAGGCTGGAGCAGGAGAGAGAAGGCACAGAAGAGGGGCAAATGGAAAACTCCCAGCCTGCAAAAAATCTCAGTTTTTTTCACAATGTTTTCCAAAGTTGCCAGTTACTATTTTTCACTTTTGTTTTCCTAATATTTCAAGGAAGAGGTTGACTAAATAGTCATGCATTACAGTTACGCATTTACCTTTCCTCTGTTTTGAATCATATTGCTTGTACTTCAGCACTAAGCTTAAGACTTAGAGGACTCACAGTAGAATTCATGTTGCAAACATTTAAATAGAAATGAGTCCATTCCAATCATATTCCTTTAGATCTCTAAAATAGGAACATTATTCAACTTAACATTTAATTGAGCAAAGCTAATCTATGCACAGCATAAATTAGGTACTGTCAGCGAGTTTACAGTATGAATAAAATACAGGAACCCGACAGAGAACGTCTCCTTTGTCTAGAATCCTCTGTAATTGTGGCATTTAGTTATGTGTAGAACTTCCACGCCATATGTTTTAATAAATACTTCAGGTCATAAGGGCATGTATAATGGAAGGACATAATTAAAGTTTAATCTGTTCCGTAAAAAGGCACCATTAATTACTCTAGTCAATTTGTTGGGTTATTAATTGGTTCTGGAAACATGTCAAGGTACTAATTTAAATGGATTTTTTTTCCTAATTGTCTAGACAGCCCCTCGACCACACACTGCCCCAGGAATGATGCAGCCTCCAATTCGATTACAGCCTCTTCCCAGTCATCCTGCAGCAGGAACTGTTCCAAAGGTAACTCCAGGGTCCAGATCCAAAACCTCACCGCCGGAAAATGAAGCTCCATTTCCTATTGGGGTAAATGTTATTCCATCAAGGAATATCTTTTTATTCTTGATTAGAATATTAGATTATCACAGTAGTTAAGATGCTAGATTTAATTAATCTACTCAATGACATTTGTATTGTGCACTTTTTAAGCACTTATTATGATGTTCTATTTAATTATCTTACTCAAATGAGAAGGCCTATAATTTCCATGTTAGTGAGCAAAAAGAGTATGTAATAATGTAAAGTGATCTCTCACTAGTTCTAAGTGTTGTATGAGAAACAAAGAGGAACTTTTTATAGCCAGATATGACTTCTATGAGCATAAACCCAGTGTTGACTGCTTTTACATTTTAAATGCATGAGACCTAGAAAATGAAACTTTCCAAGAATAGGTTTGCATTTGCATGCTGACTTACTTTACCATCAGTGTATGAAATTGCTTCCAGTTTGACTCTGGAGAACGTTGGGTATAGAAGGAAAAGAATGTCCATCTTTTTAAAAATGCTGAATTAATCACACACAGTGACTCTGCTTCCCTTTCAAGGTTATGTATGACTCAGGTAATTTCAGTTATTTTAATAGAGCACAGAAGGAGGCATAGTAACCATAAAATATGAGTTCCTTAAACAGGGAGATATAACTAAGACATTCAGTAATTAGGGAGGGTATTTTTTGGGTGGGGTGGGGTGGGGTGGGAGGGTATTATTTGTATTTCTAGCACAAAGGAGAAACATTGGCAGCTTAAGAACCTGTGTCATAATACAACAGTCATTATGTTCAAATGGGTGAATTTAGTTTCATTCCTCTTTTAGGAAACATAAGATACATGAAATTAAGGTATTTTTATCTAACACTGACAAAGACAATCTTGACACTAAGGAATTAATTCATACAAATGATTGTTTTACAGTAAGAGTATAAATATAACTCTAAAAATGATAACTAATATTTTAATCCATTTACTATGGTTTTCAGCTTACATAGCACTTTTTACAAGCCTCATTATAATAGTAGTTTATCAGAAAACGGCAGGGGAAATTAAGCCAAAAGTGGTGGCACATTTTCTAGGGAAGACTTCGTAGAGCTAGGCAGGAATTTATTGGGTCATAAGTCAATTAGGTTGACGCTTTCTAGAATCTGGTCTCTACTTAGAGACGCAGACATTTCCTGTTTCAGCTAGTGTTCAGGAATGGTCAGGTCCTGAGAGATGTCTCGGCTAACTGAAATAACTCGCAACGACCTAATTTTTCTCCCTATAGTAAACTGGAGTGAGAAGCAAAATCATAATCAGGGACCATTAATCCACAAGATATCAAATAATTACAGTTTGTAGAAGCAGCGTGCCTCCCCCTGTAGGCAGACCTACATGGGAAGCCATGTCACAATGAGACGGTTGCCTGGTGAGCATGGTGTCAGAATGAGCAGATGTGGAATGGAATGTTACTGCATTAAGCTAAGACGGCATGATGCACCTAGCTCATTTTAGGAACGGGATGCCAAAGGTTCCAGAAAACTCAAAGGTCTTTGGCTAAAACCCCCTGTATGCTCCAAGAATAACTTTGCCAATAGGACTAGAAATATTCAAAGTCCAATGGGTGATACATCCTCTACCCTAGATAGTACTTGGATGCGCACTTTCCATGTTTTCCAAGGTGATTATATTCTTTTCTATGCTCCTATAAGTATTATTTTACTATACTACTTTGATAGGCACATTTTCCTGTAAGATATGTGAATAGTATCAATCAGGTAATATTCAAGTTCTGTTGGCTAGAGAGGAATTTGTTTTTCTTTCAGGTGGTTTTCCATACCTGCTCTTAACCACTGTATAGATTTATTAATTAAATTTGCATAAGGACTTTTATTTTCCTGTTTTCAAGGTGGGGGATGTGAGTGATTGAGGGACAGGCATTTAATGGTAACTTACATGGCTGACAAGATTGAGATCAATCCCATATTAATTTAAACTAGCTAAACTTACACTTTTCATTCAATAAATATTTATTGGCTACTTACTGCTCTAAGCATTGGTGGTATATCAATTATCAAGGCAGGCAAAAGTCTCTAACTTACTAGAGTTTATATTATAATGTACATAGGCAAAAGAAAATACATCTAATTTTTTTCAGTGGCATTGATGATAAAAATGATTTAATATAAAATCAGACAAGAAATTCCTAAAGAATATCAGTCTTCATGATTGACGAGTATGTAGTGATTTAATACAATACTAAATTTGTATTGCTTTCTTAAAGATTACCGAAGGATGTGGTATGCATATGGGAACTGTTCAAAGGTGCGACAGACATAAGCAGGTTGATCTTTCTAAATGTCAAGAGTAAGGGTTTTTGATTTAGGCAAAAGCAATTTGGTAAAAAACAAGCTGGTTGAAATCCAATTGAGTAAAAATAATGACTTGATTGAAAATGATTATCCTTAGAATGAGAGTTTCTCATGGACTATTGATAGAAATAGAAATTGGTACAACTCTTGTGAAAGCAATATGGAAATATCTGTCAGCATTTTAAATGAACATACTCAAGCATTTTACATATAGGCATTTTCCTCAGGAATAAACACATATGTGAAAAGGAATAAATTCAAGAATATTTAGTAATATAATAGTGAACAATTATCAAATACCTACAAATATAATAGGGTATTGTTTTAAAATGTTATAACATATTAAAGTATGTTTAAAATAAAAAGGTAGAATTTTTGTACTGTCATGAAAAGATGTTCAAGATGTTTTGGGCTAAATATGTGAGGTAAGAAACAGCATGATAATTTTTTAAAAATTATCAGACCATTTCCAAATAAGACATGTAGTTGACTTAGAAATTAAAAATTCCTCAACCTCTGAGAGTTTTCTATTCATACATTTATTGTTATTATTTTCACTTATTTCATTTATAACTGTTATTACAATATCAATGCACACCATCACAGAAAAAGGAAAAATGTAGAAAAAGTAAAATGAGAATATACAACCTGCAGTATGAAAAATTCTAACAATTCTAAACTTCTTGGTTAATTCTATTTAAATCCCTCTCTGTTCACATAAATGTTGTCTTCAATCAAAATATGTATGGCATATATCTTTATTTGACCTGATTTTATTAATTTGTAATGAGAAATGTTTGGAGAATGATTTTCCTTTCTTAAAAATAACTTTTCACTATTTAAGCATCTCAAAATTAAGAATAAATTGGCTGAAAATGATTTTAAAACCATACCAAATAAATTAGTATAGAGTAGATAAAAATGATTAAAGGTGACTGAAAGTTTGAAAAACTACTTCATAGACACAAAAATAATCAATTTTTGAAAATCTAAAGACTCAAATATACCTGAACAAAGTGACATAATTATTGATTATAACTTTGGTGCTTTATAATTATTGAGGTAATACATGTTGATCA